CCTGCTCTTAATCAAATTTTTTTTTTTTTTTTGCGGTACGCGGGCCTCTCACTGTTGTGCCCTCTCCCGTTGCGGAGCACAGGCTCCGGACGCGCAGGCTCAGCGGCCATGGCTCACGGGCCCAGCCACCCCGCGGCATGTGGCATCTTCCCGGACTGGGGCACGAACCCATGTCCCCTGCATCGGCAGGCGGACCTTCAACCACTGTGCCACCAGGGAAGCCCAAATTTTTTCTTTTTTATTAGCCCCTGTAATTTTTATTGAAATGGGAAAGGATAAAATAATGATATTTTTTAAGATGACCAAGAACAGAAGAGAACATGCTTTTAGAGTGCAAGCACTCAGCTCCCTAGGATAAAGAGTCTAAATATATACTTAAATCCAAATATAGATGGATAGAAGAGTATCTGCTGTGTTCAAGGGAACACACTGACCAGTTGAAGAAGGTTTGCTTTATTCTCTGTTTTTTTAAAAAGTTTTTGAAATGATAGCTATTAGAAAAAAAGGCTTTCAGTTTTTGAAATGATAGCTATTAGAAAAAAAGGCAGTACAATTGCTCAATTTTAAATAACTGCCTATCTTGGGAACAGAGTCCCAGGAGAGGGCTGGCAGAAATGGCTCATGATTTTTTTAGCTGTCTGAATTTTAATTTTACACAGAAGAAAATAGAATCTGTGCAAAGTATGCACAAGTATGTATAGAATTAGAAGGCCTAAGTTGTTAAGTGGGTAAAGATTCCTTCAAAGCATACTTAAACATTCAAGCATAATAATACGCACAAACACACACACACACACAGAGGGTTAGAATTATATATTTTAGCTTAGTAATAAAGAGACACAGTTTCCATCAGGAGAAAAAGGAAAGCATAATATATACTTCCACCCATATATAATAAGTATTTTGGCGGGTGTCAGGAAATAATCCTTATTACTATTTATTTAATTCATAAATATTAAACATCTTTGAAAATTTGATTCTAAAGCTAATTTTCTAGGGCAAATGTTAACAGCATGCAGATGCTGGAGGTCATCTCGCCCAAATTTCTCATTTCACAGTTGAGAAATTGGAGGCCCAGGGAGAGACTAGGTGGCTTGCTCGTCTTCTCTTCCATTGGGTATTCAGCCCCATAGCCTCTCCACTATCTCACTTATTTTCATGAGCTTTCAACATTCATGGCAACCAGTAACAATAAACATTTTATAAGAATATATGAAAATTGAAGTCACTGATTATCGCATTCCAATTCTCTATATATCTTAATTGTTCCAAGAAAAGAAAGAATTTTTAATTTTTCAGTACATGTTTCTTGGATGTAACTCTGTATTTGGAAAGGAAAGAAGAAAATGGAGGCAAATATCAAAATCTTAGTTCTCAAAATAAATAACAGCTATATTGAGATATAATTTACATACCACAAAGTTCACCCTAAAGTGTACAATCCAATGGTTTTTAGTCTGTGCACTATATTGTGCTTACATCACTATTATCTAATTCCAGAATGCTTTCATCGCTTCCTGACAGAGCCCTGTATCCATTAGCAGTTATTTCCCATTCTCTTCCCCCTCCCACAGCCCCTGACAACCACTAACCTACTCTCTATCTCTAAACATTTTCCTATTCTGAACATTTAATATAAATGGAATCATACGTACCCTTTTGTGTGTGGCTTATTTCACTAAGAATAGTTTTCAACGTTTATTCATGTGGTAGCATGTATCAATACTTCTTCCCTTTTAATGGTAGTATTAGTATTCCATTGCAGGGATATAGTATATTTTGTTTAGCCATTCATCATTTAATAGATATTTGAGTTGTTTCCATTTTTTGGTTATTGTGAATGCAAAAATATTTGTGTGTAGGTTTTTGTTATGGATATATGTCTTCAATTTTCTTGTTGTATATGCCTAGGAGTGAAATTGATGATCACATGGTAACTCTATGTTTTACATTTTGAGAAATTACCAGATCTTCCAAAGTGACAGCACCATTTTGCATCCTCACCAGCAATGCATGAGGGTTATAATTTCTCCATATGTTCCCCAACATTTATTAGTCTCTTTTTGATTATAGCCTTCCTAGTAGGTGTGAGGTAAATAGATCACTGTGGTTTTGATACACATTTCATAATGACTAATGACATTGAGCTTCTTTTTGTGTGCTTATTGGCCATTTGCATATGTTCTTTGGAAAAATGTCTGTTCCTTTTTTGCCTATTTTTAATATTGGGTCATTATTTTTTAATTGTTGATTTGTAAAAGTTCTTTATATATTCTGGATACAAGTGCTTCATCGGATATATGATTTGTAAATATTTTCTCCCATTTTGTGGGCTGTCTTTTACTTCTTTAATGATGTCCTTTGAAGCACAAAGGTTTTGAATTTAATGTGTGGTCACTAGGTGACCTTGTAGCCTCAGCCTACCCTGGCAGTAAGCTTCCCACAGCACTCCCATCTTTGACATAGAAGCTGGTTTTTCACAGGTTTCCTGTCCATATCAGGGCCCTCATTCCCTGTGCAGTACCACGTGTGGATTGCTGGGAGCCTGGAAGGTTTCACTGAGCCATTACTTCCTCTTCCAAGCCCTGTGGCCTTCCTGCTCCCAGGGCTCCCATCCCGTGTGCACACCCACTTCTCTTTGCTGGTTAACTATCCTCGGCCCACACTGTGGAGGGATGCCTCCTGCTCTCCCAGTGACCCCAATCAGCTCTGGCTAAAACAACCCAGTGAACTTTTCTGATATCTAGTGGCCTGAACCGTACCTTCTTTAATGAGGTCTGAACCCTGGGGAGGAGAACTCCTTCCAACTTTGTTCTTCCCTGGCTACTGTCCCTCAGCCCTAGAGTAGCACGAAGTTTCCTTACACTTGTTCCTAGGTACTCGTTTATCAGAATTTGATCATTCTTTATATATGCATTCTCTGTTTAACCCACTGTGTGAGTTGGCCTACACTAATACAACAAATACTGCTTGCAAGTCAGAATAAAGTATGTAGTATCTTAAGAGATCTGAATGTGAGATAAGGATTTGTAGCTCACAGTCTGTTGATGGGATCAGGAAAGATTTAATGAGGGAGTGCAATTTGAGATGAATTTTGAAGGATGGATAAGTATTTCCTTTGAATTTGCCATTAGGGAGCTTGTATTTTTAAGGTGGTCACCTCAGATCTCCATTTCAAGGGTTAAAAACATCTACAAACTGAATTGTACTGTTTGTCTCAAACAGCTGCCCTTTACTCCTAACTGACAAGCTCCCCAGGTTTTATTGCTGGTCTGGGTGGATCGCTAGTGAAGGTGTTAGAGATGTGCAGAAGAGATACCTGGGCCTGAGTGGGTACCCCCCCCCTTCCCCCCACCGCCGCCCTACCAGGAGGTTTTTAAATGGTATCATCTCATTAGAATTACGTAACCAAATGTTTAAAAGAAAGACTTTGGTGGAGTGTTTAGAATGGTTAGAAACGAACATCCACAGCCACATGTACCAATTAATTTCCTCTCCAGATATTTTTATACTGTTGGGTAGATGTGGCCTATGTTTTGGAAGGATCCTTTCCTTTGAAGTAGTCATTACACTGTTTTCTTTCCTATATGAATGCCAAGTATACATTACTTTTCATTTCCCTTTTTGCTTGCCAAAGCCTTTTAATTTTCCTTCATCTCTTCACAAATATCTAATAAATAATTATGATGTGCTGAGCTATTCAAAGCATGGTCTCTGCACCTACAGAACTGGCATCATTTGGGAGCTTATTAGAAAAATTCTTGGGCCCCACCTTGAATCAGGATCTCTGGGGGATTGGGCCCCAAATATATGTTTTAACCAGCTCTCTAGGTGATTCTTGTACATACTGAAGTTTGAGAAGCACCAATTAAAATTTGACTGATTACATTTCACTTGAGACACATTCTAGAATTTAAAAAGGATCTGGAATCTTAAGAGCCATTTGATCAATTCAAATCAGGCTTGTGTCTCCAACATCCCTGATGGAGCGTCATCTGACTTCGGCTTGAAATTTTTTTACTGATGGGTGCTTACTACCACACAAGGTAACAACATTTTGGGACAATTCTAATTATTGGAAATTTCTCATATTATGCATTTAACCCAGATTGAATTAATTGTATCTTTTTTTAATATAAAATTTTATTTATTTATTTTTGCTGTGTTGGGTCTTCGTTTCTGTGCGAGGGCTTTCTCTAGTTGTGGCAAGCAGGGGCCACTCTTCATCGCGGTGCGCGGGCCTCTCACTATCGCGGCCTCTCTTGTTGCGGAGCACAGGCTCCAGACACGCAGGCTCAGTAGTTGTGGTTCACGGATCTAGTTGCTCCGTGGCATGTGGGATCTTCCCAGACCAGGGCTCGAACCCGTGTCTCCTGCACTAGCAGGCAGATTCTCAACCACTGCGCCACCAGGGAAGCCCTAATTGTATCTTTTGCTCATTGTTCCTTGTCTTCCTCCTGAGGAGCATGAAATAAATCTGGTTTACTTTATACAGCCCAGATGTTTAGATACTTGAGACCACTGTCTACTCTCTCCTAAGAATTTTCTTCCCAAGAGAGAACGTTCTTAGTCCCTTTACTTTCTGTACTTGATAATGCCTTTTGGATCCTTCCCTCTTACAATGACTTATATATCAATATGCTGCTTAAAATGTCACCTCCAGAGTCAAATATAAAGTGCTTCGTGGAGTTTGTCCCATGAAGGCAATTACGAGACTGCCCTATATGCTGTAGAAAGTAAACCACTCTCTTGGGCTTTAGAAAGTTGAATACCAAGCCCAATTTTGTCATAATGGATATGGACAGATTATGCAGTTTCTGTGGATTCAGTTTTATTTAACAATATGTATTGGGAATACTATGTGGCACTTGAACCTGAGGAAATGCTGATGCTTAGGGAGTAGGCATGGCTATTGAAAAGAATTGAAGTGGAGTTGTCAAAAAAGCAGGAAGGGAACCAGTAGAAAGAGCTGACACATATCTGATTCCCTCTCTTGACAGGTGTATCCTATGAGCTCAGCTTGGACAAGTCGCAGGAACCTGGGCTGGGATCCAAGGCAGGATGTTTCTTACACGAGGGACAAGAGATCTCTGTAGGGAGTCAGTGGGTAATTAGGACATGCAGTGTTCCAATGGTGTGCAAGGTGTAAAAATTAATAAACAGAAACTTCCATTAAAATAGAGTCAGGAGGCCAGAAGGGGAAGCTCTCACACTCTGAGGAAAGCAGAGCTCAGCAGGAAGGAAAATGACTTCCTATTCTTGCCTGGCAAGAGCTCAGCCAATGAGAGACTCTCACAACTCAGCCACTGAAAAGCCCCTATACTTTGAACTCTCAATTCCTCAATGGAGTCTTTTTTACTATAGACCCCCCAACTTCTTTTTCTCCTCTTTAAAAGAGTTCTCTCTTTGTTGCGGTGGGGGGAGACTTGCATGTGGCTCACCATTGTTATAGACCCCAAATTTCAATTCCTTGTTGATCCCAATTAAACCCATTTTTGTTGGAGAAATACCTGGTAGTCTATTTGTTTTAGGTCAACATTTTGGTGGCCCATATGGGGATCCAGAGAAGACCCTTCATGACTTCAGTGCTGGTAAGCAAACAGGTATGGTACTTACATTGAGTACATTTTTATTGCTGCTTTTCTTGAAGACCCTGGGGTTTGAGAGTAAGCCTGGTTTCCAGCCTCTGCTTTTTTGTGTTTTGAAACTCTTCAGGTTTTATTTGGAATGTATTTTAAGGCTTCGCCCTTTCTGATTAAGGCCTTATTCTGTATACAGGTACTCATTTGACACTTTGGCAATAGGTGGTTCCAACTGAAGCTGAAACCGTGCACCTCAGACTGGAGCTTGAACCCACGTGCTGGGACTCTAACCCAGCCTAAACCCTGACAGACTTGAGTGCATGTGGCTGGGACTCAAACTCAGCCAAAACCCACAGTCTTCCAACTGAGATCACACACCTGGTTTCAGGATTTAATGAAGCTCAGGTTCTTGATGTCTCATCGCAGAAAGAATTCAGTGAGAGATAAAGTGATAGGTAAGAAGTGGATTTATTTAGAGAGAAACACACTGCACTGACAGAGTGTGGGCCATCTCAGAAGGCGAGAGCAGCCTTGGGAGAAACACACTCCACAGACAGAGCATGGGCCATCTCAGAAGGTGAGAAAGGCACCAGGATATGGGGTTGTCAGTTTTTATAGGGGTGGGTAATTTCATAGGCTAATGAGTGGGAGGAGTATTCCAACTATTTCAGGAAGGGGTGGGGATTTCCAGGAATTGGGCCACTGCCCACTTTTTGATCCTTATGGTTGGCCTTGGAACTGTCATGGCGCCTGTGGGTGTGTCATTTAGTTGATGATGTGTCACAGTGAGTGTATACTGAGGCTCAAGGTCTAGTGGAAGTTGACTCGTCTGCCATCTTGCATCCATTTGGCTCTAATCAGTTTATGTCATGTCCTTGGGCTATGTCGTTCTTTCAAAGGTTGTGCCCTGACCCCCTTCCCTCCTGTTTCAAAACTGTGTTAGCCTTCAGCCTGATTCCTTTTGAAACAGGAGCTGTTCCTCCTGGAACTGGCTAGCCTTTGGCCTATTCCTTTTGGAACATGGGTTATTTCATTGGAACTGTGCCATTTCAGCCTTCAGCCCAATTCTCTTTGCAGTAGGGGCTGTTTTATAGGAACTGTGCTTGTTAAGCTTTTGGCCTGACCCCCTTGAAATTAGGCTATTTCATATGAACTGTGCTGTGCAGCCTTTAGCCTGGCTTTTTTGGGACCAGACTGTTCCTTAGGACTGGCTTGTATTAGGCCTGCAGACTATTTGAACTGTTTGATCTGTTTAGACTGTTTGAAAATTATTCTTTAGAGAAAAACTTCTGAGAAACGAGATCCCAATTATCTAAATATTTTGAGGGCGCCCTCCCCTACATGGACCCTGGCCAATTTTATCTTTAAAAACCACGACCCTCCCTCATGTGCATTTCTAACTAAATTTCTAACTTACCTAACCAAAGGCAATTTAGAACATTGTTGGCTATCATGGGGAACTTTTGAAACCCCCAAACTTACTTTTCTTAAAACAAAATTTGACACTATAGCTCTAAAATTTCCAAAACTGAACAGAATGCTTATTTTGATTGGTTTTTGAGGCTTCCAAGTGTTATCAGGAGCCTAAAATTACTTCTCTGCAAAATAAGATTTTTTTTTTTTTTTTGCGGTACGCGGCCTCTCACTGTTGTGGCCTCTCCCGTTGCAGAGCATAGGCTGCGGACGCGCAGTCTCAGCGGCCATGGCTCACGGGCCCAGCCGCTCCGCGGCATGTGGGATCTTCCCGGACCGGGGCACGAACCCGTGTCCCCTGCATCGGCAGGCGGACCCTCAACCACTGCGCCACAGGGAAGCCCTTCAAATTAAGATTTTAAGATTAACTGAGGCAAACAAACGGTTAAAGAAAGGTACGGTGGCTTCTGAAGCCTCATGCTTCTCTTCCCCTGCTGCTTTTCTCAGGCTCTGCCTCCAGCGCCATCTTCTTCGTCTCCCTTGGTTCTTCGTGCTCAGGCCCGAACTCTGGTGCCATCTTCCTCCTTCCATTCTATACCACCTACATCTCCTCTCTACCCTCAGTTCTCCCATACTAATTCCCTTGTCAAACCTCCCCTCTTCTCTGAAACTCTCCCTGTTACCTTTTCCTTTCAACCTATCAGAACCTATCCCTTTAAAATTAAGCCTTCTGAGGATCTAGAGGCTAAACCCTTAATTTCTTACATGCCCTGGACTAAAGCTGAACTGCAAGCCACAGTCAAAGATTTTCTCAAAGTAATTGAAGATCCTCACAGATTTGCTGAGGAATTTAATATAGTCATTCAAACTCTTCAACCTGGTTTCTCTGACTTATATCAGCTAGTTCATATACTTGTTAATGAAGGCCAGGCCCAGCATTGCATGAGAACCGCTAATTGGAAAAACTTTGAAAGCCTCTAGAATTATAACCAGAAGACCAGCCTGTTAACTTACTATGTGATCAGGCTTATGCAATCAGCAGGCAACTTCACTGGGCAATTCCTAGACTTCTCCAAAGCCTGTTGACTGGAGCAAAATTCAGGCTTGCACACAAAGATCTGATGAAACTGTTCATAATTATTACAATAGACTTCAAATTATTTTTAAAGAGAATTCTGTTCTTCCTTCCTTCATTCCACCTGGATAGCTTTTAACTCTGTTCATTAATGGGCTCGACCAGGGCCTTTCCCTCCTAGTAAAAAGGACCAGAATGCAATGGAAATCTATGTCCACTCCAGATTTAGTTAATCTGGCTAACAAGCTCTCTCACAACCTAGATGAGTCCTCTAAAAGAAGACCGCTAAAATTCTTCAACTCCAGCAAATGAAGGCCCCTAAACAAAAACAAAGTCCTCCTAGTTTCTGGTATTATTACAAAGAGCCAGGACATTGGAAAAGAGATTGCTATAAATGTAAGTACTTCAAGCTCCTTCAGCCCTTGAACCAGTCTTTTCAACACCCTGCCAATTCTCAATGACAGAGCCTTGAAGAACCGCCGGGGCTCTTCCCAGTCCTCTCTCTTAACTGGCTTGCAAGAACATGTCTCCGGACTGGGGATGAATCTCTTCCAGTCCTAACTGACACTGTAGCCACACTCTTGGTGCTCCATCCCACTACTATAAAGAGTCTCTGCCTCAGAGTACTAAAAGAGTTCAAATAGTGGGGGATCTCTAACAAACCTCAAAAGATTCCTGTCTCTGAGCCTATTCCCTTTTTTTAAGGCCCTTTGAGAAATACACACCCCTTTCTCCTTCGTTCCACCACCCCATTCATTTATGATGCCGAGACTTCTTAGAAAAGTATCATGCCAGAATTTCTTTCTCCCAAAAGGAGGAAATAATTCTAGGATTTGACAATAGTCGTCAAAGCAGCCAACCAAGGGAATTAAATGACCCTTTGATGTCTTTTATCCGTTCCATCTCTTACACTACTATAGCTGATTTTGGAAACACTGATCAATTTGTCCCTATTGAATCACCTATCACCCTCCTCATGGGCAAAATCTCCAACTGATCCTGGCAAAATTCGCGGCACACCTCCCATCAAGATTCAAATAGATCCCTCAGAACCTCTCCCCAGAAATAATCAATATCCTATAAGTAAAGAAGCCTTTGGATATATAAAGCCCATAATAGAAAATTGCAAAGCTGAAGGCCTCATTATCCCTTGTACTAGTCCCTGTAATTCTTCTGTTTTACTGCTCAGAAAACCTAAGGACAAAGGGTGGAGGTTTGCCTTCACACCCTGCTGTTTCTAACCCTCACACTCTTACTAACACCCACTTCCACCAAAAGCAAATTCTTGGGACAGCATTGGCTTTTAAAAATTTATTTATTTATTTTGGCTGCATTGGGTCTTTGTTGCTGAGCGGGCTTTCTCTAGTTGCGGTGAGCGGGGGGCTACTCTTCACTGTGGTGCGCGGGCTTCTCATTGTGATGGCTTCTCTTGTGGAGCACGGGCTCTAGGCGCACGGACTTCAGTATTTGTGGCACATGGGCTCAGTAGTTGTGGCGCACGGGCTTAGTTGCTCCACAGCATGTGGGATCTTCCCGGACCAGGGATAGAACCCCTGTCCCCTGCATTAGCAGGCAGATTCTTAACCACTGTGCCACCAGAGAAGTCCCAGCAAATTCTTAACTGTAACTGACTTATGCAGTGCATTCTTTAGTATTCCAGTTGATAAAGTTAACCAATACCTCTTTGTGCTCACTTGGGGAAAAAAAAATTCACCTGAACAGTAATGCCTCAGGGTTTTACTGAGTATTTCTCAGTAATCCTGAAGGCTGACCTGGATGATATAAAGTTCCCTAGGGTTTCTACTTTGTTGAAATATGTGGCTGATTTTCTTCTTTGCTCTCCTTCTCAAGCCTCGTCACAAGAAGACAGCATCCATTTGCTAAAGCTTTTAGTCTTAAAGGGACATAAGTTCACCAAGGAAAAATTGCCATTTGCCCAAACCTGGGTTTGACATTTAGGACATCTGATATCAGAACAAGGGCTACACCTAAACTGAGATAAACTTCGCGGTGTCCTAAGTTTCCCCAAACCCCAAATTAAGTGCCAACTGCAAGGTTTTCTTGGGCTACTTAGTTATTGCTGAAATAGGCCAAATCTTATGGCCGTAAGATTGGCCAATCTATTGGCCAAATCTTAATCTCTTATGGCCAAATCTCTGTTTTACTAAGAACAACAACCCAATTCTATGGGAAGAACTGGATGACATGGCCTTTAAGACCTTAAAGCAAAGTTTGATGAACCCACCTATCCTTTGGCATCCCAATGATCAGATTCCCTTTTTCCTCTTTGTAATGATAATGAAGGGAATGCCCTTGGGGTACTCACTCAAAAACACAGGGACTACCATTGAACTATAGGGTATTATGGCCAGCAAATAACCCCCTGTGGCACGGGGATAACCCCCTTGCCTTAGAGCCATTACTGCCACTGCCCTTTTGGTTAAGGCCACTGAGAAAATCATTATGGGATCCCTTTATTTTTGTACCTCATGCAGTAGAAGCCCTCCTGAATTCTCATCACATGCAACAGTTC